TTTATCCCACCCATTCTAAGCCAAAATAGTTTTCCTAATGCATACCCTGCTCAGAAACCCTCAGGAGCTCCTCACTGCCTACTGATGTTCACCATGGTACAATGAAAACTAATTTTCTGGCATCCTCTGCCCTCCTTCCTGTGTGTGCACTTTGTGTCCAGGTGCAGGGATATGCTTGAGGCACCCAGTCCAGAAAAACAGCTGTTTCTGGCATCGGATCTATCTCCACACCCTGGTCACATCCTTCCAGGCCTCGGTGTGTCCTCTCCTCGGTTGCTTGAAATCCTTCCCATTTATAGTAGGCAGAATAATAGCCCCCTAAAGATGTCTATACCTTAATGCATGGAATCTGTGAATGTGTTACCTAAAGTGGCAAAAGAGCCCTTGCCCATGTGGTTAAGGGTACAGACCCTGATGAGGAGACCATCTTGGATCATTCACATAGTAATCAAACGATTCCTTGAAAGCAGAAGGCAGAAAGGTAGGGCAGAGAGATGTAACAGCATGAGAAGGACTTGCTCATTGCTAACTTTGAAGACGGAGGAAGGGGCCACAAGCCAAGGAATGCCATGGCCTCCCAAAAAACCCCTGAATCTTGCCACACCCTGAAAGAGGAGGAAACTGTCCCCTCAAACCTCCAGAAAGGACTACAGCTCTGCTGCTGCCTTGCTCTGAACCTGTGAGATCCAGGTTGGACTTCTGGCCTCCTGGGCTATAAGATCATCAATTTATGTTGCTTTAAGCCATTTAGTTTGTGGCCTTTAAAAAAAAAAATTAATACCGAGGATTGAAGTCAAGGGTTCTTAACCACTGAGCCACATCCCCAGACCTTTTAATTTTTTAATTTTTGAGACAGGGTCTCCTTCTAAGTTGCTGAGGCTGGCTTTGAACTTGCAATCCTCCTGCTTCAGCCTCCCAAGCTGCTGGAATTGCAGGCATGAGCCACCACAACCAGCAGTCTGTGGCATGTTTTTCAGCAACATCCTTCACCACCTGTTCTTCAATGTTTCCAAGAAGCTGTCCATGATGGCCTCAGCCAGAAATTAACAGTTTGCTTTTATCTGAACCCTGAGGCCCTGGCGACTTTCCTCCCCCTGAGAAATGGTCTGATGTCATGGTTTGGGTATCCTTGTTCTTTAGGTTAGGGTTAGGATTCAGGTGGGCATGGTAGCTGCCACAATATCTAACTTTGCCTTGTACATTGTAGCCACTCACCCCCGCCCCCGAACACCCCCAGAATTCTCTTTTACATAATCAGTGAACAAATGGAAATTCCATAAATCTTTAAGGCAGAAACAAAATAACGGTAGTAAGTACACCCTTTCTTTCCTCTTTTCCTTGAAGTTAGCTATTATTACCTTAATTCTGAAATTAGAGGTCATATCTTTATTGTCTATAATCTGTAGCACTAAACCCATCAAGGATTTGGATACTTACTGTTAGCAGGAAATATTATTTTTGACACATAATTGATATTAATTAACTATATTTCATAACTTTCCAGAGAACAGGGCCTTAGAACTTTAAGGAAATAACAATAAATAAGAATGGATAAAGAGATACTTTTACCTGTAAATGGCTACTGATAACAAAGTATTATTTTTATTAATACTGATGATAATACAAAATTAAATCATCACCAAATAGGATTTGATTTACTTATGAAAGCCTAAATCTGCATTTTAATGTTTTTCTTCCAAGTCAGAATATGAGCAAGTGTAGCATATAGTGGTGAATATAAGGTGAATGTAAGTTGCATTTAAATTTAGAGAAAACTAAGTTTATAAAAAAGAGTTCCTCTAGATCCCGGAGCATGTTCATATCCATCTAGGTGGGCATGGTAGCTGCCACAATATCTATCTTTGCTGAAAAGTTGCCATGATGATAATAAAATGGACAGAATATTCATATGCTATTGAAAATCTGTAGATTTGAAGCTACATTGTTCAAAAAATGTGAAAATATAAAGCAACCTTCAAACAACAATTATAATTTCTTCTTTGGAAATGGAAGCATGTTACTATAGTGATACACTCACATCAATGTTTATAGCAGCTTACTTCATTGTAGCTGAGCTATGGAACCAACCTAGTTGCCCTTCAACAGATGAATGATAAAGAAAATGTGGTACATATATACAATGGAATATTATTCAGCCATAAAGAAGAATTGAAATTATGACATTTGTCAATAAACCATGGAACTGGAGAATATCATGCTAAGTGAAATAAGCCAATCCCCCCCCAAAAAACAAAGGCTAAATGTACTCTCTGATATTTGGATGCTCACAATAAGCAGGGGCTGGGGAGCGGGTGGGAAGAATAGAAGTTCACTGAATTAGACAAAGGGGAATGAAGGGAAGGGAGAGGGGATGGAAACAAGAAACACAGTAGAATGAATCAGACATAAGTTTCCTGTGTTCATATATGAAACTCCACATCATGCACACCCACAAGAATGGGAAATTTTACTCTATATATGTATGATATGTCAAAATATAGTTACTGTCATGATAACTAAAAATAACAAGTAAAAAATTAATAAAATGGAAGTATGAATTCACAGTTCCCAGAACTTCAAGAAGACAAAAGGAAAATATATTTTTAAAAAACATTTTGTTTTAGTTCTAGTTGGACACAGTACCTTTATTTTATTTTGATGTGGTGCCGAGGATTGAACCCAGCTCCCCACAAGTACTAGGAGAGTGCTCTACTGCAGAGCCACAATCCCAGTCCCAAAAGGAAAATATTTTTAAACATTGAAATCACATTAAAAAAATCACAACTCGAGGTTAAACTGTAGATTCATTTTATATGGACAGATCAGACATAATCGATTTTGTCTTTACCAAGCTCTGGCTGGTATCTAAGCTTCCATGTTACCTCTTCCTACTTTGCATTTCAGCAAAAAAAAAAAAAAAAAATGTACCCTTTATTTTTCAAAATCAACATGAGTTGAAGTTCTCTGTAATGAGGGTACAGCTATTCAAATGTTGAATGCATATTAGTTACAGAAATCTTGAAAAATTTTAGATAAAATTCTGGCTAGGAAGGGAAGAAGTAGCAGGAACACAGGGCGAAGTCAGGATAGACACTTGGAGCAGAAGCTCAGAGAGTTCAAGGTTAGAATAGACTGAATTCCCTCCCAGCAGCGACAAAACCCAAAGAACACTGGGGGTCCTGTTGGGTTGCAGCACCTACCATATTACTGTAGAATTGGTTTTGGAAGTTAATTTCTCAATTTCCTTCTCCAGTTTGATTTTTTTTCTTTCCTTTTCTTTCTTTCTTTTTATCTTTTTTATTTTTTTCCCAATGCTGAGGATGGAACCCAGGGCCTTGCTAGGCAAGTGCTCCATCACTGAGCTACATCCTTAGCCCTGAATCTTAAAGAAAACCCCAGGAGATATAAAGCCATTGAGATCCAAAGGAATGAATCTGTTTAGGTGGAATTTCAGGAATTACAAGTATTTCATTCATTCACTCATTCATTCATTCATTCATTCATTCATTCATTCAGTACTGAATTCTAGGCACTGCTGACAGGTGACTATATCAATCAGGGTCACTCCAGGTGAATTTGGGCTGACTAAATAAAGACACAGACACAGAAAGTACCTTTTTCTTTCAGTCCAGTGACCACTCCTCAGCCACAGCTCCCACAAAGGGGGCAAAGAGGAGGAGCACACCTCAAACCCGGGTTTTATTAATGGGGGGAGCTGATTCATGGAACATTCTATCCAAAAAAGAGCAAAAGGGTAGGATTACAATAAACAGGTGGATGTAATTCAACCCCATGGGGTAATGCCCACTCCCTGAGCTGCTGTATTGCAATGGGAGCAATACCAGTCCAGTATCTCTTTACCCAGGACTTAAAGGTGTGTACATAGCTCCTGTTCTGGGTGGCTCCCAACACAGGCACAGTGCTAAGCATGGAGACATCATGGTGGGCAGATGCAGACATAGAACTTACAGTTTAGAGAGGAGATGGACTTAATCAAATAATCATAAAAAACAATATGTGGTGAGAAACGGTATTAAGTGTCACGTAGTCTATTTCCCCAACAGAGAGACTGACCTACCTAGTGGTGAGACTGTGAAGAGACTGTGAAGGCTGGCCCTCTCAAGGGAATCACAGGGCCACATCCAAGAGTGGCAGGGCCCCAGCAGGAGGGAGCAGCACTTCAGAAAGGAGTGATTGCAGAATTTCTAGAGAGGTAGGGAGTGTGGGTGGAAGCCTGTGCCAATTTGCACAAGCACCTTGTCAACATTTGCACAAGTAGACTCATTCCCAATGACCCCAAGAGTTTTTCACCAAACCAGTCCCCCCTTGGTGGCACTGACAGGAGATTAGAGGTCACAGTCTGGTTGACTGAGGTGTGGGGACTTAAGTACTCTTGCGGAGCCCGCAGCACTGTTTCCACCTGGGGTATGTGTTTACCTGGAGCAGCTGCAGGACACATTCATGACCCACATCCCCCTCATTTTCTCAGGGTTTGGTCACATAGGAACCTGTTCCTGATAAGAATGATTTCTCCTGTCAGACTCACCATTGGGCAGAGGAACTGCCAAGGTTGGCTTTCCCATTAGGCCCAGTCCCCAGAGCACAGAATGCTTTTAGGGATCCATGAAAATATTTTACTTTTAATTTATTTTAAAGTCAGAACAAAAAAAAGTGAATGTAACAACAAAGAATATATATGGCTTGCCTGTGATTTCAGTTATCCATAGTGAACCATGATCCATGTTTTAAAATGGAAAATTCTAGAAATAAGCAAGTCATAAGTTTTCAATTGAGTATCATTGATGAAATCTTTTGCTGACCTACCTTCTTCTGCCTGGGACCATGAATCATTCCTTTGTCCAGCATATCCACACTGTATATGCCACTGGCCTGTCAATTTCTTAGTAGCCAACTTCCTTATCAGGTCAACTAGCATGGTAACTGTCATGCCATCGCCTAATGCTATGTCACAATGCCTACATCATTCACCTCTCTTCTTCTCATCATATACTATTGAGACATCTCAATTTATCACAGGAAGGGTGAGTACAACACAGTAAGATATTTTGTGAGAGATCATATTCATATAAATTTTATTACAGAATACTGTATCATGTTTCTTTTTTATTATTAGTTATTGTTGTTAACCTTTTGCTGTGCCTGATTTATACGCTGAATTTTATCATAGGTGTGTATGTATAGGGAAAATTGATATGTGGACTTCTGTACTGCCCATAATTTCAGGCATCCATCACACTATGCTGGTGAAATAAGGCATATCTGGAAACCTCATTTACATCTTGGAATATGCTACCCAAGGAAAAGGGGGGACTCCTGTATATAAGAAATCCAAACCCAGTCTGCATTATATTTGCCTTTATTCATAGTTTTAAATACCATTTTCATTTTTATGAAGGAAGACACCCATAGGCAATAGTTAGAATGTAGGCCTGAGTACTGCAGGTGGTATTGCAGGAAGAGGCTATTGTGGCTGAGGAATGTGAGAGAGGAGAGAAGGGGAGAGGAAGGAAAGATTAAGGATGTAAGACTTCATCTCCTAAATGCAATGGAAGTCACCGGAAAAGTTTAAACTGGGGCAGGGGTGACCTGATGCTTCAAAGACCACTCTGGTTATTGTGTAGAGAGTGGATGGTGGGGCTGGTTGGAAAGGGGCAGAAGCAGAAGTGGAAAAATGGCATGCTGTGATGCCGCAAGAGGTAAGAGATGATAGAGCTTCATCAGAGCACAGTGGCGTCATTCAGCAAGGGCTACCTGAAAGGGGCAGATGGTTTACAGTGGTTCAGTTTTACAACAGGCAACATGCATTCATTTGCATCCATAATCCCAATTTGGATATTTCTTGGGCTAGTGTTATGTTATATGATATTCTTACATCATTGGGCTGCAGCAGGGACCGCAGCTTCCTCTCAGCTCCATGGTCGTGAGAAAAAACAACTGACACTCCATGAGACACTGTGTTAGTAAGGTGAGACTATCGGTAATTTAGGTTATTAAATGCATTTTTGATTTATGATATTTTCAACTTACAAAATATGGGGATATGTCCCCATCACAACTTGATTAACATCTGTACCACAAACTGAGTGGCTGAAACGACAGAAATTAACTTCCTCACAATTGTCCAGGCTGGTCCAACAGTGAGGTATGGAGAGGGTTGGTTCCTACTGAAGTTTGAAAGTATTTGTTCCAGGCCTCTTTCCTATGTCCTTCTGTAATAATCTTGGTGATTCTTGCTGTGCCGGTGAGCATTCTCTCCCTAGGTTTCTTTATATCATCTCCCTCTGCATGTGACTACATCCAAATTTCCGTGTTTTATTAGGACACCAGTCATATTGGATTAGGGGCCACCCTAATGACCTCATTTTAACTTGATTACCTCTGCAAAGACCCTATCTTTAAATGAGGTCATTTTTTGAGGTACTGAGGGTTGAAACTGCAGCACAGGAATTTTTGAAGAACACAGATCAACCAACTGTTGACCCAAGGGCCAAATCTTGTCCACTAAGTATCACTGAACTACATTCCCAGCCCAGCAAATTCATTTTTTTATGAAAATACTATGCTATACAATAGTCAAACTATGGAACCAGCCAAAGTATCCATCAACAGATGAACACATAAAGAAACTGTGCCGGGCTGGGGATGTGGCTCAAACCGTAGCATGCTCTCCTGGCATGCGTGCGGACCGGGTTCGATCCTCAGCACCACATACAAACAAAGATGTTGTGTCTGCTGAAAACTAAAAATAAATATTAAAATTCTCTCTCTCTCTCTCTTAAAAAAAAAAGAAAATGTGCTATATATACACAGTGGAGTTTTTATTTTTTCAGCCATAGAGAAAAATTAAATAATGTCATCATTTTCAGGAAAAAGGATGAAACTAGAGACCATTATGTTAAGTAAAATAAGCCAAACTCAGAAAGTCAAAGGTTGTATGCTTTCACTCATATGTGGAAGCAAGAGAGGAAAAAAGGAAAAGAAAGGCTGTGTGTCTGGAGGATGGGAGAGGATCTCATGAATATCAAAGGGAGATCAGTAGAGGAGAGGGACCTGGGGAGAGAAGAGGGGCGAAAAAGGGGAAAATCTGGGGAAGAAAATTGGCCAAATTATACTATTACATTGTTTGCAAGTATAAATACATAAAAACAAACCCCACAATTATGTATGACCATTATGCACCAATAAAAAATATGAAAAAAAAAACTCACCAAAGGTGAACAAAACACATATAATCATAGACTCCGAGTCAGCAGGTAAGTGCCTTTGTCTGTCAATCTTCCTCCAATAAACTCTTTTTTTTTGTTTTTTTACAATATCTTTATTTTGTTTATTTATTTTTAATTGGTGCTGAGGATGGAACCTAGGGTCTCACACATGTGAGGCGAGCGCTCCACCGCTGAGCCACATCTCCAGCCCTCCAATAAACTCTTATCTGACACATCTGGGAACCCCAGTTAGTGGGTCACCACTCCAATATGACTAATGAGGCCGATACCTGAGGCCAGTTGGACTTCAAGGGTAAAAGATGGAGTTTCACATCAGTTAACCCCAGAGTCACCCATTGCTATGGTTTAGATGTATTCTCCAAAAGTTTATGTGCTGAATCCTTAACTCCAAAATTTATCTGCTGATGGTATTTGGAGGTGGTTACGATTAGATTAGATCATGAGGGTCTGGCCCCCAACAATCCGTTGCAGGATTTGTACACAGAGAGACAGGGCACTGGGGCTTTCCACAGGAAGCAGTGTTTATTTTGTGTCAGCACAGACCAGGAAGATTCTTATCCAAAGGCTGAGCCCCAGGGCTTCGCCTTATGTAGCCCCTGCTAATCCCCTTCTCCCCCAACCCCCATTACATATTAGCCCCTTTGTCTCATACGTATATAGAAAGATATATTTCTCATGGGTATTCTATGCTTTATTATCATAAGTGTGTTATGGCAGAGCTGCATAGGCACACCGGTGGGGTTCCCAGCAGGGTCACGCATATGCCCAGAGTGTTGATGGAGTAAGGCATTCGCGCTGAGCGTGCCATGTGGTTTTTCTTTTGTCTGGGAAACGCATCATACATGGTTACTGAAGGGCACCAAGTTGTCTGAAAGAGTCAAGCATATGCGCAGAGATACTGGCCTGTACCATGTTGTTTGACAAAGTCATTTTGTGTGCTTGCCTGCACACAAACTAGCATGCTGTGCAGTCTTATCTTTGTTTGAAGAGGGCTCCTTCCACAGGATTAGTGTTTATAAGAGAGAGAGACTTGAGTTTGTAAGCTCCTGCTCTCTCACTGTACAATAGTCTCTACCATGTTATTACACAGGAGAAAGGTCCTTACCAGATGCCAGCACCTTGACCTTGGACTTCCCAGTCTCCAGAAGAAATGAGAAATGATTGCTTTTATTTATAAATACCAAGTCTCAGGTATTCTGTTGCATCAGCCCCAAATTGATTAAGACATTTGACCACCTGTCAGTGCTAACCAACACCAGGTCCACCCCAGCTTCCCTTCTGAAGACCTTCAGGATGTGGCCTGGAGTTTTCTTTCACTATCTTCTCTTTATTCTTTTGTTCTCAGATGTACCTCTCGCCCTGTCCTCAACCCTGATTCAGCCCTCCTGCACCCTGGCCTGAGTGAAGCTGCATGGAGAGAAGAGTAAGCCAACCTCTGCTTGGAAATGTTCTCTGTTAGGAAGGGAGACAAAAATGAGAACAGACATGTTCTGCATGAGATGAGCACAGTAGTAAGCCATGCACAAGAAGTCCTCGGGCCCAAGGACCAAGCCAACCAGAGTCTGAACAAAGGGAACGGCCAAATGGAGACACCCATGGTACTTCGGAACTAGGAAGCTGCCCAGGTGAAAGAGGGTTCCTTGCTATCCAACTTGGATCAGGTGTAAGCCAGACAGACTTCTGGGTGGGAGCTGATGCCAATACACACCTCTGCTACTCTGGGGGATCTTCTGCTTGGCTAGAACCTGCTCTGAGGCTTTTCTCCAGGTTTTTTTCTTCTGGGGTTCCTGGAGAATGGGGATATATATGAATTAATAAATGAAGGCGGGAAGGAAGGAGAGGGCTTATCTCACTACTATCAACTGCTCTGTGGCAGAGATTATTTGTCTTGGTTCATCCTCAGCACACAGAGCAAGGCCTGGCAAGTAGGAGGTGCTCAATAAATGTGATAGAACCATTAAAATGAATTACTTACTAAAGGACCAATCTAACTCCAGGTGCCCAAGATTGCTGTGTATGTGTAGTGGTTCTATTTAACTTCTTTATGGTGTTGATCCGTAATAGTTTTGCCTGCTCTTAAGACACATCCCCACCCTGCCCTATCCTGCCACCTCCTCCAAGAAGTCTTTCCTGATCTTTGGTCATAAGCATTTGCCCTGCAGTCGGGAGGCAGCTGCATGTCTGAAAAGGACCCCCAGCATTGGAGCCGACATATCTGGTCAGTTGTGAGATCTTGACTAAGTTTCTTTTTCTTTTTGTGGTGGAATGGTGATAGGAATTGAACTCAGGGCCACTCAACCACTGAGCCACATCCCCAGCCCTATTTTGTGTTTTATTTAGAGACAGGGTCTCACTGAGTTGCTTAGCACCTTGCTTTTCATAAAGCTGGCTTTGAACTTGCGATCCTCCTATCCAGGCTCCCGATCCACTGGGATTACAGGTGTGTGCCACAATGCCTGGTTTGACCAAGTTTCTTAAAACCTGTTAGTGTTTTGCTTTTCTCATTTGTAGAACAGGAATTCCTGTCTCACAGTGTCATGAGGATCAAGTCAGATAATGTATGTAAAGCCCTGGCATGGAGTATGTGATTGTTGAGTAAATAAACCTTTTATCCAAGGAAAAATTCAGAAGAGCTGGAGCTTAGCAAATATCAACACAGTAGAAAGAACATTCTAGAAGGGAGTATAAAGTCAGTAATCTTTTCCTGAATTTTCAGTCTCATGAATCAAATCATTAAAGTCAAATTTGAAGAAATGAATTTTTACAGAGGGTAAGGGCACCACATGCTGCCAATTGTGGCTCATAGCTGTGCATTCTTAGGAATCATGAACAGAACAACTAAAAAAAGATGGTTTTGATGATTTTTAAGGAAAGCACAGTTGTAACAAACATTCTGTAGCTATTGAATAGTTCCTTTTTTTTTTAATAAGCTACATTAAAATCTACATGTTGTACATACCAAAAAAAAAAAAAAAAGGCTAAAAGAATTTGGGGACTTTGAATGGAATTTCCCTAACCTTAGGAAGGAACACCACAAGTCAAACATCATAACTGCCAGCTGTGGAATTAATTCTAAGCCATTTTAAGTCCTGACAAGTATTTTGTTTGGCAAGAGTAAAGCAATGTGTTATGGAGGATCTCTGAAATTCGGGGTTCTGGTTCAAGTAATAATTCTAGTCTTTCTTTAATGCTATTCTGCAAAGAGAAGAAACACTGGATTTATAAGTTAGCCTGCAAATACACAGAAGATGACACTGAACTTATTGAGAGCCCGTAGTATTATGTCACTACATCACTTTTTCCTCCTGTAGCTTTGTTTTACAGTCATCCTATAATTAGGTGGATTGATCTAAGTCCTGTGCTTTGTTAAGAAAACACACACACACACACACACACACACACACACACACACACACACACACACACCCCTCACTCAGTTGGAAATGAGAGGTGAGAGTCCTTCAGGCAGGTGGCTCCCCTCAGCATGCCATGTGAGGTGACACCCAAACAGAAAGTGTCAATGAAAAACTCTCAGAATGTCAGAAAGTGAGAGTTGGGGGTGAAGCAGGATAGTCACATGATTTCAATTCCTTCCTTGAGAGAAGTAATTCCTCACAGCAGGAGGAATGCTCAGAGAAGTTCGTTCTTTCACTTCCAGGAAACACTTCTCCTATCTTACAGGCAGTATGCCGCATGCCAAGTGGGCTGAGTGAGGACAAATGCCGGTATGAGGGGCTCAGCCCTGAAAATTCCCTGGCAGCACTGGACGTTAATTTGCAATGAAGTCATGTCGTAGGCGAGTTCTACAGAAAGGCACAACTGAAAAAACACGGGTGTGCAGGCTTTCATTTGTCTGAAAAACAAGCATTTGTCTGCTCAGTTGAAAATGAATTTCATACTTAAATTTGTGTTCATCGCTCCACTGATAAGTGCTAAACCTAAATTTGGGCAATGCATGGATTTGCCCCAAACAGCCATTTGGGTGGAAGTTCTCTTTGCCTGTTGGATGCAAAGTTAGTATCTTCTTTGCAGTGCCCAGAATCCCATAATAGTATAATACTTTGTTTCTGTAAGTGTACTCTTTAATAAGATTGGATAGGACTGGATGCCAGCCAATAGCCTCTATTGAATTCTTCTGTGTTGAGGGATTGTGAAGAGAATGAACAGAATGGATTGATGGGGGAGCCCCACATAAAAGAGAAATAATGACAGATGCTTTTTATAGAGCAACCTAACAACAAGAAGCTCAAAGTAGCACACCAGCAAAGGCTTAAGTGCTCAGAGGGTATCACACAGAAATTCAGGGCTCAGCTGGAACCTGAGGTTCAAATGGGGGCTGCAGCCGAGAAAACACAAAGGAGGAACACAGGCATCCTGCCAGGGGCAGCACTGGGGGTGGGCTGGAGGATGCGGGGTGGTGGATCCTGCGTGGTTTAAGCACAGGTTCACTGCCGGAACCGTGATTTTAAAATGGCATCCCCGGATTAGGCTCACAGACCTACAATTTCACCCCCAAAATCTAGAAAGCAATGTGTTAAAAACAAAACAACAACAAAAAAAACAAAACATTTTTTTTCTTATATTCTAAAAACTATTACCTGCTTCTGTTGAACTGCTATTTGGCAGAAACAAAATAATTGGTTAGTGTGACTCTGCATAGTTAACTGATATTTAATTTGAAGACAACGAACCCTTCAACTTGGATTCAACCATTTTTGCTTGGTTCCACTGCCTTTTTTTTTTTTTTTTTTTTACTGTCTATTTGAGTGAAGTCTATTTGAGTGGTAAATTCAAGAAATTTAAAATTTCCAAGCAACCAAAATATACAATAACACCCTGCTAAATCACAGGTTTTTGTGAAGGTGAAGGGGCATCCTTCATCACTGCATCCTGAATACAGGCCTGGGTTTGCCAAAGCACCAAGAAAAAACCTGGAATGGGTCCCGGCTGGGATCATAGAAGCTCAGGAAAGCTCTGTTCTTTTTTAATCCACAGGTGGGGACAGAAGTCCTCCAACATTAATATCTGCAGGAATAATCTCCAGCCTTAACAATTAACCCATGGCAAACAATTAACTCATAGTCAAAAAAAAGACACCTTAATCATTTGTCCCAGAGAGTCTGAGTCCAAAATCTGTGATGGCTTCAGACATGTTCATTTTATTTTATTTTTTAAGTATTTTTTTTTTTTAGGTGTAGATGGACACAACACAATGCCTTTATTTTTATGTGGTGCTGAGGATCGAACTTGGGTCCCGCCTGTGCTAGGCGATTGCTCCACCACTGAGCCACAATCCCAGCCCCTCATTTTATTTTTAATGAATTTTTTTCCTTCTTCTTTTCTTAATTGGTTCATATTAATCATACAGAATGATGAATTTCATTATGGCTTATTCATACATACATAAAAACATAATTTGGGCCAGGCTCGGTGGCACACACCTGTAATCCCAGAGGCTCCGGAGCAGGAAGAGTTCAAAGCCAGCCTCTGCAAAATCGTGGCTCAAAGCAACTCAATGAGACCATAAAAATGCAAAATAGGGCTGAGGATGTGGCTCAGTGGTTGAATGCTTCTGAGTTCAATCCTTGCTACCAAAAAAACCCCAAACATAATTTGATCACTGGGTACGGTGGCACATGCCTATAATTCCAGCGGCTCAAGAGGCTGAGATAGGAGGATCACAAATTGAAGGACAGCCCGAGGTATTTAGCAAGACTCTAAGCAACTTAGTGAGACCCTGTCTCAAAATAAAAAATAAAAAGTGCTGGAGATGTAGTCCAGTGGTAAAGTGCCCCTGGGTTAAAATCTCCAGTACCAAACAAAACACCCAAAACAAAACCCAAAAAACATTATTGGATCAATTTCTCTCCTCAATATTTCCTCCACCCTTCCCTCCTCCCTTCCCCAATCCCTCCCCTCTCTCTTCTCTAATGGTCTCCTTTCTGTTTTCATTGCCTCCTTACTCCCCACCCCTCTTGCTTCCACATAGAGAAACCACGATATGTTTTTGAGTGTGACTTATTTTGCTAAAAGTTATGTTCCTCCAGTTCCATCCTTTAATGGAAAAAATGTAAACGTTCATAAAAATAGATTGGTATAATGAGCCCCCACATACTCATCTCCAGCCTTAACAATTAACTCATGGCATATCTTGTGTCACTTACGCCTCTTTCCTGACTCCCTCACCCCATTGTTCTGAAGCAAATCCTAGACCTCATTTTTTTTCTGTAAATATTTCAGCATTTCTCTCTGAGAAATAAGGACACCTAAAAAAACAATAGGAGTCATTCAGATGTGAATGGAAGAAGTAAAATTATATTTATTTGCAGTGACATGATCTTGCATCTAAAACATACACACACAAACTAACACATAAAAAATATTAGACCTGATCTTTCAAATTAATAAAAATCTACTTATAATAATATTTAAATGGAAAAAATACTTAGGAATAAATTTAAGCAAACAGTACAAGACTTGTACACTGAAAACTACAAAACATTGAAAAAAAACTAAAATAGACCTAAATTACTGGGAATATATCTGTGTTCATGAATTGGACAATTTAATAGTGTTACAATGAAAATAAACTTAAAGTTGACTTACAGATTCAATACAATTGAATTGAAATTCCAAATATCTTTTTCTTTTAAGAGATGAATGAACTGACCATAAAATTTATATGGATAGAATAGTTAAAACAATCTTGAAGGAAAAAAAATTGAATTCTCAATTTCAAAACCTACTATAAAACTACAGTTATCAAAATTACTGGCGTAAGATATAGGCACAAGAATATAATAAATATAATTGAATTAAGAGTCAATAAATAAACTCATACATCTATAGTCAATTGATTTTCTATGAGGGTGCCCAGATCATTTGGTGGAGAAAAACTAGTCCTTTGAACAACTGGTACTGGCACAACTATATAGTCATAAGAAAAAGAATGATGTTAGACTCCTATCTCATACCATATTTGAAAATTAACTCAAAATAGATCAAAGACCTAAATGTAAGAGCTAAAACTGTAAAACTTTTAGGAGAAAACAAGGGACAAATCTTTGCCACTTTAGACTAAGTAATGTTTTTTTGATATGTTGAAAAAAGCACAAGGGACAATAAAAATGTTGGTCTTCATAAAATTTAAAACTTTTATACCTCAAAGGACTAACAAGAAAGTGAAAAGACAATTTACATAATGGAAAACATATAAATTATATATCTAATAAGGGCTAATATCCAGAATACATGAGAAATCTTACAATTCAACAATTACAGGATTTGAATAAATGTGTCTCCAAAAACATGAATATATTGCTAGCCAACAAGCACATGAGAAAAGTTTCAGCAACATGGTCCTTAGAGAAATGCAAATTAAAACCATAATGAGATGCCCCTTCCACTCGCTGAGATGACTATAAAAATATATAAATAAAACAAAAAGCATAATGACAATTGTTGACTCAGGTGTGGAGAAACTGGAACCCTCATATGTTGTTGTTGAGAATGTAAAATGGTACAGTCATTGTGGAAATAGTTAAACAGTTCCTCAAAAAGTAAAACATAAAAGTCACCCTGATCCAGCAATTATACTCCCAGCAATTAAACCCAAGAAAAGAGTGAAGATGTTGATACCAAAATTTGTATACAAATATTCATATTAGCTAAAAAATAGAAACAACTCAAATGCCCATCAAGTGACGAGTGGATAAACCAAATGTGGTATATCCATTTAATGGAATATTATTCAGCTGGAAACAAGGAGTAGAGTACTGATATAAGCTACAGTGTGTATTAACCTTGAAAGCATGCGAAGTAAAAGAATTGAGATACTAAAGACCACATATTATATGATTCTATTCCTATGAAATTTCCAGAATAGGCAATCCATAGAGACTTAAAATAGATTGGTGGTTGTCAGAGGATGAAGGGAATGAGAGTTTGGGCAATGATAACTGATGGGCATAGGGGGTGTTTTAAGGTGTTTAAAATACTTTGGTGATTGTTGCACACTTTTGAATATACCCCAAACTATGAAACTATACATTTTAAAATTCTATTATATGTGAATTATGTCAATTAAGTGAAAAGGGTAACTCATCATGATTATCACACCTAAAGATATTAATGGTAATTCATTAATATCACCAAATAGCATCATGGTTCAAATTTCTAATTGCCTTTTAAAAAGTATTGTTTTGAAGGCTTTTTGAATTGTTGTTGCACACAGGCTGTAAGGGTCATAATGAAGTCCACACATTACAACTCATAAATATGCCTCAGTCCCTTGTAAGCTAGAGTTTGCCTTCTGCTTTCCTTTTTTCTCTCCTTACAATTTACTAAGAAGCCAGACTGCGTGTCTTCTAGAGCTTTCCAGTCTGGATTTTTCGGCTTGCATTCCTAAAGTGCTGTTTAACATTTTCCATATCTCCTTTATGTTCTGTATATTGGTGGTTGGGCTGACCTGTTCATCAGATTCAGATTTCATTTGTGTGTCTGTGTGTGGTTCTGGGGATCAAACCCAGGGCCTCATGCATGCCGAGCATGTCCTCTATCACCGAGCTACATCCCCAGCCCCTAGATTGGTTGGCCAGATGGAAGAGGTGTGCTTCCATTGGGAGGCACCTGGCATGGGTTGTGGTGGAACCTTTCAGAGGTGGGGTCTAGTGGGAAGTGTGTTGGTCATTGGTGGCATGCCCTCCAAGGGGACTGTGGTGTCCCATTTCTCCCCCTCTCCTGTCCACTTCCCAGCCATAAGGTAAGTATTTTGGGGCCACCATGCAATCTCCACCATGATGTTCTGACTCTCCGCAGATCCAAAAACATCAGGGCCAACTGATTGTGGACTGAACCTCTAAAACTGTGCACTAAAACAAGCCCTTTTTCCTCTCTAAGTTGATTATCTCAGTTATTTGTTAGATGGACAGAGAGCTGATTAACACACTCCTTGGGATATGTCAGAAAATGCTGATGCTCCACACCTAACCCTTTACCTTGGTATAGGTGGAAGGTGGTTGTGCTCTAGCACTCCATCTTCACTTATCAGCTAGGATTCTTACACAAAGAACCCTCCTGGTGACAACTATCAGGTCACCTTGAGGTTCCATTCTAATAAGAGAGGGAAAATAATCTACTAATTCCCTTTATTTTACTAGTTTTCAAAATAATAACTATTCTCTATATAAATTTTATAAAAGTAACCCATGATTTTTGTTTGTTTGTTTGGTTTGGTATCACTTAAGGACATGGATTTAAACCTATCATGGTGTGCTTCAATCCAGTGTCATTTCTCGCCTCCTATTGTCCCTTTTGATGAGTGCATTCGTCTTTGTGTTGGCTCCCAAATCCTTTTAACCTTTTTTCCTTTGGAAAATGAGAAGATGTTCCAGGTTCTATGTTGCTCCTTAAAGACAGTTCATTTTAAACAAGTCTTCTGGTGGCTCTCTTAAGAGACATCTAAAGACCCCAGTTTAAAGACAAAGGAGTTTCTTCAGCTTCAGCCCATGGTGCCTGTCCTTCACAAGCTCATTTAGGTCTTCACTAATGACATGTCTGGGTTGATTAAAGAAGATCCTATTAGTAGTTGATGTTACTTAGTGATACCAGAGAACACAGTAAAATTATAGGGATGAAAGTTCTCACACTTATCTCTCTTTCTCTAGGGAGAAATAAATCTAAAATGGGCATCAGCAAACCACCACACCTAGGCAGAAGTAGTCGGCAGGGGTGAGGTGAGGATGATGGTGGTGATGATGAGTAGGAGGGGGAGGAGGAATAAATAATGGTAATAACAATTACTTATCATTCTGTCTGCTATGTTCTCATTGTCGTGTTAAAGACTTTACCAACATTTCCTTTTAATAGGCACGTTGAAGAGGAGGAAACTGAGACGGAGCAGGGACCATCTCCAAGCATCTTTCATCCTCTTCAAGGTCAAGAGTGGGAGAGGGGTGGGGACAACAGAGGGAAGAAATGTTTTATAAGGAAAAGCTGGCACCCAGAGTAACTTGCTCCATTTGCCATGAGAACTCTAGTTTTCACAATTTGGCTGACATAGGTGTTAGGAAGAAGATGCTCAATATCAAAAGAGTTTGAAGTGAGGATCCCTTTGGGGTCATTTAAGCAAATATCAAATATCTAGAGTGGTCAAATATTTTAAGGCTAAATTTTATTGGTTCAAATAACTTTTACTTATGGAGAATGTGGGGAGGTTGAATTTTGGAGCCCAAGCACAGCCCATATCACAAGAAGGGAAGTCAGATCACTCCTGAGTAGGGGTATCTGGACAGTTTGTTTGTTTGTTTGTTTTAATTATTTTAGTTGTAGATGAACACAATTCCTTTGTTTCACTTATTGATTTTTATGTGGTGCGGAGGATCAGACCCAGTGACTCACCTGTGCTAGGCAAGCGCTCTACCACTGAGCTACATCCCCAGCTCATGGACAGTGTTTTAAAATTCCTCTAGTATTCATGATCATTGCCAATTTTTACTTTTCCTTTTGTAAGGAAGCACATTATAAAAAGCATCTTAGCCAATTGGATTCTTTCCTGACAACAGCTGAAGGTATTCGAGTCGACAGTGCCATTCATCTTGTATGTATGGAGGCCCTTCATTCATGTTGCTGAAGTAAATTTGGTTCCTACCAAAACGAAATATGAATAAGAGCAAAGCAAGGTGCGGTGTGAGAAATGAATTTGGCCCAAACCAAACCAAAACAAAACTTCCCACCTCTATAAATACGGGTGAACATAAGGCTAAAGGTTACCCAGGGTGGTCTGAACTAGAACCTTCCAGTCTAGACATACAGGCAGATGGCAGTCAGAAAACAGAAAGAGCTCAGAGGGCTTGAGTTCTTCAATACAAAAGGAATGCTTTAAAAATGGTAACTGCATTTTTTTTGGCTTATCTTTATAACTTTCATGAGCAAATTTCACCTTTGTGATTAGGCAAAAAAAAAAAAAACAATAAATTCTCATTTTGAAAAATGGGAAAAGGGCATAAGAAGGGAAATGGGATAGAGGTGGACCCTGGGAGTTTAGGCTGCAGGAACCTGGGGGATCCTGGAAACACCTGCAGCTGTCTCTGTGTCCTGAAGCCTGGTGCTACAGGTTGGAGGTTGAATGTCCCCCAAAGGTTCATAAGCTGGAGGCTTGGTCCTCCAGGTCGCATCCTTGAAGGGTAGCTGAACCTCTAGGAGGTGGGGTCTAGTGGGAGGTCCTTAGGTCATTGGGCGGATGCCCCTGAAGGGGACTGTGGGATCCCGCTTCTTCCTCTTTCTTCTTCCTGATTCATGAGGTGGGAGGTTTTGCTCTGTCATATGCTCCCCATCACTGCCAGCCAGCACGCCCACCAGCGGCCCAAAGAAATGGGTTCACCCAGCTCTGGGTGGGAAACTCCACCACTGTGATCCACAATATACCTTTTCTCTTTATAAGTTAATTATGTCAGATATTTTATTAGATAGATGAAAAGCTAACACACCTACGACACAATTCTCCTCATCTTCTCCCTTGTTTCATTCAGGGAAATGAGGTGGCAGAAATGGTTAATGAGCCACACGAGGTGGCACACTCCTGTGATCCCATTGGTTCAAAGCCAGCCTCAGCAAAAGCAGGCTCTGAGCAACTCAGTGAGACCCTGTCTCTAAATAAAATACAAAACAGGGCTGGGGATGTGGCTCAGTGGCTGAGTAACCCTGAGTTCAGTCCCCAGTACCCACCCCTCCAAAAAAAAAAAAAAAAGTTAATGAATGGAAAGCCACTTGAGAGGGATCTTTCATATCTAATTGTTAATAGCAAATGGCTATTACTTCTTTATTACCAGAGGCCATTACCTCTGACTTTGAGTTTTTAAAAATGCCAGTGCTAGGGCCTCCTCCCAGGAGTCCAGAAGGTTCTGTGGGTCTGGGGGGCGGGGGAGTGGTAAAACCAGGTTTCAAGTCCAAATCTAACTCTGTTTTTTTACAAAACACTACATTAAAATTAATCAGAGAAAAGGGGAGGGGAGGGGAGGGGAGGGGGGATAGTAGAGAATAGGACTGACAGCAGAATACATCAGACACTAGAAAGGCAATATGTAAATCAATGGAAGGGTAACTGATGTGATACAGCAATCTGTATACGGGGTAAAGTTGGGAGTTCATAACCCGCTTGAATCAAACTGTGAAATATGATGTATTAAGAACTGTGTAATGTTTTGAACGACCAACAATAAAAAAATAAATTAATTAATTAATTTTAAAAAAATTAATCAGGTGATATCAGCAAGATAATGGAATAGACAGACCTGAACACACCCCACCCCAATGGACACAGCAATTCAAGAGTAATAAATAGGCAGATTGCCTTCTTTGGAAATCCAGAAACCACTAGAGGCTTCTACACCCAAGGCAAGGCCCAAACCAGCCAACCTATTTGGTGGGAAAATTCAACATACTCTCTTGTGATAAGCCCTCGTCTCAGCACAGTCTCAGGTAATCTGAAGGAAAGCCCAACTTAAGGATTCTCCCAGGGAAAGGAAGGAATTGAACTGCATGTTCAACTTCCTAACACTTGTGTGGGCTGAGGCACTGGCTTTTCTGTTTCACCTGTCTAAAAACATTCATGGGGCCCAGGATACTCTACATGAAGAAGATGGTGGGGCTGGGGATATAGCTCAGTTGGTAGGGTGTTTGCCCCATGTGCATAAGGGCCCTCGGTTCAATTCCCAGCACCCCACCCCCCATCAAAAAGAAGAAGAAAAAGAAGAAGGAGGAGGAGGTAGTTTGTAGTTTGGATTTAGCAAAAAAGTTTGAGAGGCCCTCAGAATATTTGACTGCCCTGATTGAGGAGGGTCTTCTTCTGTATTGGGCTACTTTCCAAAGACTGGGAGAAGTGGCTGGGATACACAGAGCAACAGAAAAAGTCAAGTAAAATGAAGAAACAGAGAATATGTCCCAAACAACAGAACAAGATAAAATTCCAGAAGCCAGTCCTAATGAAATGGAATTATACCATTTACCTGACATAAAATTCAAAATAGTCATCATAAAGTAGTTTGAATGAGGTGGTGGAAACAGTGTATGGACAAAGTGAGAATTTAAACACAGATACTAATAAAACAGAATAAACAAAAAATCTCAGAGCTCAAGAATGCAATAATTGAGGGCTGGGGATGTGGCTCAAGCGGTGGTGCGCTCGCCTGGTATGCGTGTGGCCCGGGTTCGATCCTCAGCACCACATACAAACAAAGATGTTGTGTCCGCCGAAAAACTAAAAAATAAATATTAAAAAAATTCTCTCTCTCTCTTTCTCTCTCTCTTTAAAAAATAAAAATAAAAAATAAAGATTCTTCTTTCATTTTGTTTTGCTTTTGTTTTAAGAAGCCTGTCCCTGGAGATGGGTGGGACAGAAGAAAAACCACTCACATCTGAGGAAAAAATATTTGCATCTGGGGAACAGATAGGGAGAAAGGACGGATGGACATTTCAGGAGGATAGAAAGGCTGATATAATGAAATTTTTGTTCCATTTTGTCTCGGTTTTCTTTTGCATTATCTTAGTGAGGGGTATCTTCGTCACAGAAATATGGAATTAAAAATTAATAAGAACCAAACCGAAAGGGCTTTAGGTAAATTGCTAGAGGAAGGAGGCATCTCAGTAAAATCAAGGACAGTTAGGGCATAGGTTAAGACGATACAAAGGTGTAGCCCATGGTTCATTAAAGAGGGGTTGTTAAATATATCACAATGGAACCATCATGGTGAAGATTTTAAAAAGATAGAAAAGGAAGCCCAGGAACTCTGCCAGTTGGCACATTACCATTATGGATGTTGGTACAATCTTGTTTGCTTAGTCTAGGAGAAGACATCTTACATCAAGTAAAAGAGGAAGTCTCTCGAGTTAGTCAAACAAGGGAAAAAAGTATAGAGGAGGAAGGGCTATCAGGGGAGAAATTACACCGGGAGGTTGCTACTAACCCCTTTCTATCACCGGGGGGGCGTGGGTGTCCAACCAACAGCTCTGCCTACGGAGACAATATGTGCTGAGTGGCCCTCAATCCCCACAGTTGATAGATGGGATCCTGAGGCAGGACCTCAAAGATTAGCATACCCTGTATTTGAGGCGGCAGGAGGGCAGCTAATTCACCGTGCTTTAGATTTCAAAACAGTAAAGCAGCT